GGAGCTGGCTGGGGGGAGCTCCCACCTACCCCAGTCCCGGCAGGGGGCGCTGTGGGGGGCAGGGCAGGAGCTGGCTGGGGGGAGCTCCCACCTACCCCAGTCCCGGCAGGGGGCGCTGTGGGGGGCAGGGCAGGAGCTGGCTGGGGGGAGCGCCCACCTACCCCAGTCCCGGCAGGGGGCGCTGTGGGGGGCAGGGCAGGAGCTGGCTGGGGGGAGCTCCCACCTACCCCAGTCCCGGCAGGGGGCGCTGTGTGTGTGTGGGGGGGGGGGGCGGGAGTTGCAGGAGTGGGGCAGGAGCCCAGTGAGGCCATGCGAGGCTGGGGGGCCTGGGCCAGGCTGCCCCGGGGACGGGACATTGCCCCAGTTCTGGGTTTGGAGAGGTGGGGTGCTGACCAGAGCGGGGCTGGGGGCTGCCTTTGGACATGGGGAGCGGGCGGCTGCCCCTGACTCCTCGCCCGGGGCTTCTCCCACGGGGGCCGCTGGAGATTGGGGTCCCCATGGGGGGAAGGGTCCCGCTAGTACCGGCCGAGAGGCTCGCAGGGGGGAGCATCTTTCACGCCAAGCTCAAAGCCGCAGGGACCTAATGGGGAAGGGGAGCAAGGCGGCTGCTAAACACACACCGGGAACACACACACAATGACACACACACACAGTGACACACCCACCCGGACGGACACACAGGGATATCCGATATACACACATGCAGCGACACACACCCACACTGGGTTACGTGCAGTCACACACAGAGTGACACCTACACCCAGTGATCTGCGCAGTGATGCACACCATGGGACACACCGGGACATCACTCATGCAGTGACACACACACACCGTGTCACCCCCACCGATGTGCAGCTCTGAGCTCTGGGAAGGAGACCCCGCCCCCCCTTCACAGCACACGAACAAGGGGCGGCCCTGGAACCGTCCTTAATAGACTGAGACCACACCCCCCCGGAGGGGGGCTTCCCTGGGCCCCCCACTCCTCTCCCAGCCCCCCAAACCTAGCACCCCCTGCTCTTCTCCTCGCCCCCTGACCTGAACCCAAGGTCCCTGCCCTGGGCTATACAGCAGGTCAGACGGATGATCACAATGGTCCCTCCTAGCCTTGGTATGTAGAGTATCCCTGGTCCCTGCTCCCCCCTCAGCCCCCGCAATCTCCACACCCTAACCCCCTGTGCCTCTCCTACCCCCAAACTACACTGTCCCTCAACCCCTAACCCCCAGTACACCCCAACCCCCTGAGCCTCTCCTACCCCCAAACCTAACTGTTTCCCAAACCCTAACCCCTAGCACACCCTAACCCCCTGTGCCTCTCCTACCCCCAAACTACACTGTCCCTCAACCCCCAACCCCCTGCACCTCTGTGACAATGCGGTTCTGGCGGAACCCAACTGAGAGTGCCAACTCAGGACAAATTGCTCACACAGGGCAGTTACAGCCCAAGGCTGGGGGTTTTTCCCCCTCTAAGGCAAACCAAACCAGCCAGACTAAGAGGACTTCGGTCTCACCCCACTGGCTAACC